CATTTTTTCATCTTTGAGCTCTTTGAATCGTCTTGGTTCATTTACAAGAAATTTTGCTGCTTTGTCTTTTTGCATAACAAAAACAAAACAGTTTTTCTTTCCATTATATTCGATTTCTCTCGAATAAATGTTTGGAATATCTTGCTGTGTTTTAGCCTACTGCTGTGCAGATAGTTAACTATGGAGGTGTGGGGGGAAAAAAACCTTCCCTGTCATTCAGTTTCTGTTGTTTCTCAGGGAAGCTGTGACTCACACTCATTTCCAGGGGGAAAGTTGAGAAAGTAAACAAAAGCAACAAAAGGTAACAAACTTGACAAAGAGGTTGATAAATTGGCCAAAGGAGGTAGCTCATTCAGATAAAATGGCCAGAGATTCTGCCTATTAATAAACAAAATCTCCTTTCTTTTATGAAATTGCCATTGTTCTTTATAATGCCAGTCAATAGAGAGGGAAATTAGCAAAAAAATAAAGCACAGCAGGGTAACTGACCTTAGAGATTACCTGATCTAGAATGCCCCCTTTTGGAGAATTGGTCAATTACACTTTTTAAGCATTCCTAACAAGTGGGCTCTTTCTATGCAACTTCAGAGAACAAAAACAAGTTTGTGTGTGTGTGTGTGTGTGTGTGTGTGTGTGTGTGTGTGTGTGTGTGGTATGAATAGCTTGTGTGGCAAGGACTTAGGGTGGCCACGTCCAATTTGTGATTTGATACTCTCCCTGTATTTTGCTGTCGGACATAAACTTCATCTCTTCTTCAAACAATGGCAATGTTCTGCATTATTTTTGTTGTTCCAACTCGGAACATCCTGGATTTCCTTTTAACAGAGGCAGCCACCAGCATCATGTTTTTACTGCAGAACATTTGTAGATAAATAATGCAATGGTATTTGGATATTTTTGGTCCAATGAAGTGGTCAAGAAGAGCCACCCTTCCAATCTTTTTGCTCATTCATTCATTCATTTTTTCCATCAGTGAAGAACGTCTATCAGATTCTTCAGATCAAGTTTCAATGTTTCTTTGAGACATTTTATAACTTTGGAGACATACAGCAAAGGGACCAATCTTATTGATTCATTCCTGTGTTTTATTTATTTATTTTACTTTTATAAGTAATTCAAGGCAGCAAACACACATAATATTTCTTCCTCCTCTTATTTTCCCCACAACAACAACCCTGTGAGACAGGGTGGGTTGAGAGAAAGTGACTGTCCCAAGATCACCCAGCTGGCTTTCATGCCTAAAGCAGGACTAGAATTCACAATCTCCAGGTTTCTAGCCTGGAGTTTGGTCCAGTGCCTTGACCACTAGACCAAACTGATTCCCAATAGCTTAGAGTAGTCATCTTGACAATATCTTTCCATGGTTCATTTACCAAAAGAGGGGCAATTTATAGAATAGTATATATTAGATTAGATTAGATTAGATTAGATTAGATTAGATTAGAGTAGAGTAGAGTAGAGTAGAGTAGAGTAGAGTAGAGTAGAGTAGAGTAGGATAGGATAGGATAGGACAGGACAGGACAGGACAGGACAGGACAGAATAGAATAGAATACTTCATTGGCCAAGTGTGATTGGACACATAAGGGATTTGTCTTGGTGTAAATACTCTCAGTATACATAAAAGAAAAGATACATTCGTCAAGAGTCAAGAATCATAAGGTATGACACTTAATGATAGTCGTAGGGTACAATAAGCAATCAAATCATACTAGAAAACAGTCAATATAAATCATAAGGATACAAGGGACAAAGTTACAGTCATATAGTCACAAGTGGGAGGGGATGGGTGATAAGGAGTGATGAGAAGATTAATAGTAATAGTAGTGCAGACTTTGTAATAGTTGAACAGTGTTGAGGGAATTATTTGTTTAGCAGAGTGATGGCTTTTGGGGAAAAAACTGTTCTTGTGTATAGTTGTTCTGGTGTGCAGTGCTCTATAGTGTCATTTTGAGGGTAGGAGTTGAAACAGTTTCTCTCCGGGATGTGAGGGGTCTGTAAATATTTTCACAGCCCTCTTTTTGACTCGTGCAGTATACAGGTCCTCAATCGAAGGCTGGTTGGTAGTAATTGTTCTTTCTGCACTCCTAATTATCCTCTGAAGTCTGTGTCTGTCCTGTTGGGTTGCAGAACCAAATCAGACAGTTATAGATGTGCAGATGATAGACTCAATAATTCCTCTCTGTATCAGTAGCTCCTTGGGCAGTTTGAGCTTTCTGAGTTGGCGCAGAAAGAACATTCTTTGTTGTGCTTTTTTGATGATGTTTTTTATGTTAAGTGTCCATTTTAGGTCATGTGATATAGTAGAACCTAGAAATTTTAAGGTCTCTACTGTTGATACTGTGTTGTCTAGTATTGTAAGAGGTGGTAGTATGGGAGGTTTTTTTTTCTAAAGTCTACCACCATTTCTATGGTTTTGAGTGTGTTCAGTTTCAGATTGTTCCGTTACACCACGAGGCAAGTTGTATAACCTCCTGTCTGTATGCGGATTCATCGTTGTCTCGACTGAGATCAATCACTGTTGTGTCATCAGCAAACTCCAGTATTTTAACAGATGGATCATTTGAGATGCAGTCATAGGGAGAAGAGAAGTGGAGAAAGCACACAGCCTTGGGGGGGGGGCCCTGTGCTGATTGTACAGGTATCAGATATGTTTCTGCCTAGCTTCACCTATATTTGCTAAGTTGTCAAGAAAAAAAAATGCAGCAGCCCCATATTATTATTACCTTTATTGAGTACAACATGTGTACAATGAGATTGGCTGTTATGTTATGTTATGCAGGCTTGGACAAGACATACAAGGAAAGGAGAATGGAGGGAAAAGTCAACCATTTCATGATCAGATGAAAGGATATCTTGTTGAATTGCTGAGTTGCTGAACATTTGCCATCTCTGCCAAGTGCAGTTTCCTTCCTCATTATGCATAAAAGGTTATGCCTTTGTATCCCTCTTTGGAAACTATCCAGAACAACTGCTGGCCAATAAGTCAATCAAACAGTGTTGAATTGAAGTGTTGCAGAAATTCTTGCTTCCAAATCAGGACACAGGACCACGAAAGATTGGAGAATACAGGTTTTATTTGTGCACAAGGTTCAGAGCATTAGCATGGCAAATTCTGAACCCCCGGCTCTTCCTGAGACATTACTTTTATATGTATCATGACCTCAGACCAGACCGGGGCGTTCCTTGTGTTACATTTTACCAAAAAAGGAGAATAATGTATACATTTCTATAAAGGAAATATAGAGGAAATGAGAAGTACATTTTTGATTACTCAGTTATCTTACACCATCTGTTATTTTCCATGTCCATCCTTGTTTACAGTAACGTGGTTAGTTCCAGTTCCTTAATTCAGCAGTTTCATGGTTTTACACAATATTTTTATAAGAAGCAAAGCATGGGGTCAGGGGATTTCTGCTAAATGTGTGCATTCTTTATTAGGAATTTTCCATACTGCTTCAGAAGCATTTTTCTTCCACACCTGGAGGGGAGAATGGGGTCTGCCAATAGGTAGGACATTCCAGCCAAAGGTGAGCCCTGTTGCACTTCCCTTGCCTTCCAGGTTCTCCTTCCAGGTTCTCCTACTCATTGGGAACAACCCAGGGTATCCAACAAGCAAAATTCCCTGATAGGGAGGAAAAATTAAAAGTGTATTTTTACTTTACAGAATATAAGCCAATTAATAATCATGGTCATTCAATTTATAGAACACGTTTTGTTTAATTGAAGTAGCATTGCTTATAATAACTCTAAAAGATAGGTCAATATTTATTCACTGGAAGAGACAGCCTGCCAAAAGCTGCAACTCTATCGCTTTATGTAGTCGAGAAGGTCAAGTGGAAATGATATGGCTACAATTTTTTTGTGCCGTTTTGGTGTACAGCTAGTCCTTGGATGTACGACCACAGTTGAGCCCCCAAATGTCTGTTGCTAAGTGAGACCTTTGTTAAGTGAATTTTGCCCCATTTTACAACCTTTCTCATCACAATTGCTCCAGTTGTTAAGTTAGGAAGGCAGATGTAAAGAGAATCTGGCTTCCCTACTGACTTTGCTTGTCAGAAGGTTGCAAAAGTGGTTCACATGACCCGTGCAACCATCATAAATATGAACCGGTTGCTAAGCGTCTCAATTTTGATCATGGGATCATAGGATGCTGCAATGGTTGTAAGTTGAAAAATGGTCGTCAGTCACTTTTTTCAGTGCTTCTTGTAACTTTGAATGGTCCCTAAATGAATAATTGTAAGTCAAGGACTATCTCTATTAATTAAGCACCAGGTTAGAAACCAGGAGAACATGAAATCTTGGGTAGAAAGCAGTGGTGGGATTCAAAACTTTTTACTACCAGTTCTGTGGGCATGGCTTGCTTGGGCATGGCAGGGGAAGAATACTGCAAAATCCCCATTCCCTCCCCACCCCACTAACTTGGTTTCCAGCTCCATCCTCCTATGCAGGGTAACAAAAGAAGAACCCAGCCGATCAGCTGGAACTTGGGAGGCAGAGAATAGATGGGGGCGTGGCCAGTCAGGGGTGGTATTTGCCGGTTCTCCGAACTACTCAAAATTTCCACTACCAGTTCTCCAGAACTGATCAGAACCTGCTGAATACCACCTCTGGTAGAAAGCCAGCTGGAGACCTTCCTTTCAGCCATAGGAAGGACAAACCATTTTCAAAAATGTTGCCGAAAAAAATTTAGGGACCTGTTTGTCTCATAGGCATACCCACAAACACTTGAAATTTGCTACCAAATTGTTACAAGGAAGCAAGGAAATCAACAATTATTCATGCCATGACTACATATATGTGTTCAAGGGAAAAATCAATCTTACAGCTCTTTTCCCGTGTGTGTTGATTTTATTCAGTGATATAATAAATAGTAGCAACGGAAATGGTATTTTGATTATATATTTCCAACAGATTTTGATTGTGTCTCTTCTTGTTTTTTTCTTTGTTTCTTTGAATGGTAGTGAAAAACTAATATGTTGAATTGTTTTCTGTTTTTCAGAACAACGAAATGGCAGAGCTGCAGAGAATTAGGATGAAAGATGAAATCCGAGAGTATAAATTCAGGGAGGCACGGCTTCTTCAGGATTACACTGAACTTGAAGAAGAAAACATTACTTTGCAAAAGCTGGTTTCCACACTGAAGCAGAATCAGGTGAGTAGAGGTGGAATTTTCAATCAGAGATTTTAAAAGTAGTAATGCCAAATTCTCAAATGCAGTGTGTATCCTATTACAACAGAGATGTTGTTTCAGGAAAATTTCTAGCATTCAGTAACTATTGTAGGACAAAAATACCCAAGTGCCATCTGGCTCACCCCCTTGCCATCATTTCACAGGTGAAAGCTTCTCATAAACCTTCTTCTAACAAGCCCACATACAAACTTACAAAAAACCCACTTAAAGCCCTTTCATCCTGTGTAGGCTAAAACTGACAAAGTGCCTCTCCCCAGGAAGCCAACCTGCGAATCAAGAATCATGAAGCAAAATCTTCTCAATATAGGGAAATTGCTTAATCACAGTACTGCTCCCAAATGCCAGACCCCCTAACTCAAATGCCAGACCCCAGATTAAGGTAATCTGCAGGGCGAGAGAAAACATTTCCTCACTATCAGAAGTCACACGTCCTCAGGGCAAACACTTAAACTGACATATCTGAATAAAACTACCCTTCTCTTCGAGCAGCTGTCCAGCATGTTTATTTGGGACCCACTTAGATCTGAACCCAGAACTTTCTGGCACTTTGTTGACCCTTAAAAATCATACTTAATAAGGTTTGTAAAACATTATTTACTAGCAATTGATGGAGACAGTACATTGAATTGTACAAAGCATAATTCTAAAGGCATCTCACTACAACACCAATATAGTTCGATATTACATGACATTAGCATAGTCACCAAGTATAAGCACTACTTTTTAACTCAAATAAATCAGAAAACAATATTTAAAGTATCTTTAAAGTGATTTCAAAGTAGAAAAGAACAAAAGGAATTTTGTTGTAATTCATTGATAGGTTAAAGCATGGGTATCAAACTCGATCACGTCACGTGACATATTGTGACATTTTTTGCCTTTGCGGAGCTGTGTGGGCGTGGCCTGTGCGTGATACATCTGGCCCGTGGGCCGACCATTTGACAGGCCAGGTTAAAAGGATCGCTTTTATTGAGAAAGGTCAGTTGAGTTAGAGACTAGGGCATCAGAGGGAATTACATCATTTGATTTTGTAAATAACAATAAAGCAAATTACAGGAGAATTCTGATCTATTGCATATGAAGTCTGTTGCATTGTGGTATAGTAAAATTATGTTTTGCAGTGTATACTGAAGCACTCTGAACAATTATAAGAATACTTACTATCATTTCTTATCAGTGCAATGAAACCTTGATATTAGTAACAATTAGAGATGACAGACTGTTCATTGTTCTCAAATGCCCATTAATACAGAAGTATGTCATTTATGCAGTTGTCTTTGTGCAAATTGACA